AAATAAGACACTCTTCTTGCCTAAAAGTATTCATAGTAGTTGGGAAGGCAAACATGAAAAGTAAAATGAAAATGCAATATACTAATAATTCAAAAAGTGGGTGTATAAGAGCGCAGAGCTGGCAGCTCTTCCCTTTTGGCAGTGAGGAAGGGATTACCAGAGAAGACTTCTTGGAGGATGTGATATATATGAGCCTAGTGGTTACATACAATGTTTTATTTCACATCTTTATACTTCTCCACCATCTGCAAAAACTTAAATGAGTGAGAATTACCAAATAATTGAAAAGACTGGACATTGACAAAAAATTTGTCTTTAATGGAATCTACAGTTTATGGCTCTTGTTTAAGGATGGGGAAGGAGGCAAATGGGTAAAAGTAAATGAAGGGAACATGTTGTTTCTAGTTATCACCACGGTTACCTTTTAATTTATCTTTAATGTTTTCTGATAAACGTTTTGTGAGCTGGGGTATTTCTTCTGGAGAGTATTCAGCATTTGCCAGCTCCTCCTTGAGCACAGCATGGATGCAGTCTTTGACCAGAGAGGGTCTGAACCTAAATGAAGCAGTTTGAAACATCTAATTGGTAACTCCAAAACCCCAGCTTACCTTCACACATCAACCTCTCTCTGCTTTTGGTCATTAAAACCACTTAATTCTTCTTTTTCATATTTTTATTATAAAAGCAATATAAAGAAATTAAAAAAACAAGTCATACTCCAAATTTATATCTCCAGATAAGAGGTGACTGGATGTCTCCCTTAACTTCATATCACATATTCAACATATATATTCCGTCTGGATGTCTAGTAAGCAACTCAAGTTTCATTCAGCACTGACATTCTGCTCGCCTTATCTCCCCAAAACGAAGTCCTCCGGTAGCTGTCCCCATCTCAGTCAACTGCATCCTCCCATTTGCTCAAGCCAGAGGACGCCCGTCACGTCGTTTTAGTTCTGCCTTCCAGATAATCCGCCTCCAGGCCCGGCCCTCCCTCCCAGCTCTTCCCTCTAACTTTAGCATGGCCCCGCCCCCTCCCCGGACCCTCCTAGCCCCGCCTCTCCCCCCGCCGGTGCCCCATCCCACCCCCTCCACCCCGGGCGCTCCTTCCTGACGCCCCAGCTTCTAGGTGACTTCTGCCTGCCAGATCCAGCATTTCCCGAGTCGGCCCGGCACAACCCGTCCGCTACTCGCCTTTGCTGAAAAATGGGCCGCAGAATGTAGGTATTCTCGGTCTCCTCTGGATTCTTCTCGGTCTCAGGCAACCCGTCGGCCGCAGAGAAGGACGCACGGGTCGACGAGGCCATGGCTAGGGCTTCTCTGCCCGATGTACACCTTGCGATGAAGGCCTGGACAGTGACTGCCCAGAGCTGGGAACGGTCGCCAGGGCAACAGGGCCGCCCTGAACCCTGACGTCAGGCGGCCGCGCGCTCCGGAGAGCGCTCGTCCTCCTCTGCGGGTTCTTGCGGGCTTCCCGCGCGTGCGCACCCGCGGCTGGGCGGGACCTGGCTTCGCGGGGAGATGATAGTTTTCTGTGGTGTATAGCACCCCCACGCGCGTCCACACTTAATTAACCGCGCTACAATCTTAGGAAATTAACTGGAACCTGGACCTATAGAGGTCTAAGGACGCATAGCTATTGAGCGGCAGGGCCCTTTCACCTGTGGCCTACACCTCATCCAGCTTTCATTGTGTTTTGTACGACTTGTAAACAGGTTTTATATTTTTTAATTGAAAAAATCACCCACACCACTGCTTTAGTGCAAAAGTCAGAAAGGAACAGACTTTGGGGGCATTCCGTGCTTATAAACACCAGTCTCTGGTCCTGTTTTAGAAGGCTACAGTATCCTGGCCTCTGCCAGCTTCAAGAACTAAGAAAAGAAATTTCCTCAACATCAGCCCAGGCTTCCTTTGGTAACCTTCAATCTATTGGTTGGATTAACAAGTTCCCAAACTTGCTTCTGTAAGATGCAAAGTGGGTAGTTCTCTAAAAGCATACCTTTGCAAATTCCACTTGAATTTTCCAGGTTTTGGTTTACAAAGTGTTTTCTTGATATTAGACCTAGACTGGTCTCCCTGACTTCAGTAAATTACCCTCAATGTCACCTTCCCAGTCCACCCTTCACACTGTCCCCAGAATGGCTTGCCTTTTGTCACTGATCTGTTTGAAATCTTTTGATGGCACTTTATGGCTGTCCCCCACTACCAATCATACTTCTTTGCTTCAAATAAGAGCCTTGTGTTCTGGCTGGGTTGCTGAACCTTCCTCCTGGTACTGGCCAGCAGATTTGGCTCTGTGCAAGGGCTGCAGGGCCAGGTGTGCACCCAGTACTGCTCAGAGCTGCCTCACTGGTGCCTTCTTGAACTGCCCCTTGGCTAAGCAGCACCAGCCAGCCCCATCTTTGGAGGGGGTAGGGGTCATGCATCCACAGCATACTGTTCCCTGATGGCACAGAAGTTCAGTGTCTCCTAGGGACAGACTGTGTTTTCTCTCTGTTGTTTCACCACCCTTGAGAAATCATACCCCTAGGGTGCAGACTTTCCCTCAACTTTTCTGATTTCTTCACCTATGTTTCACCCTATCTACTGCAGTCCAATTAAAAATAAAACAGGAACATTCAGCATATGATTAAATTCAATAAACATTTTATTAGGTCATCTGTGCTAGGGGCTGGAGAAGTAAAAACAAGTAAAAGCTGGGCCTTGTGCTAAAAAGCGAACAGATTTGGCTGGGGAGCAGTGGGCTAAACTACTTATCACTAAATAGAGTGCCACTTGCTATTAAAAAAAGTCTGAAGGACAGCCCATTTCAAAGATGGGCCTCCTGTTCTCTGAGTGGGATTAGAAACAAGGCAGCATCCTCTTCATTCCAGGAAGATAGTCAATAAGGCACACAGGAAGAAAGGGACTTTTTTCTTAATAATGTTTATTTAACACTATCCTGATAAACAGATTAACATCCGTCCCTCTGCCCAAACCCTGAATGGAAGCTAAGCCAAGAGCCAGGTGTAGCTTTGGTTTGGGGAGCAAAAAACCAGGGTGGAAGCCTATTCTGGGTGTGAGTGTCCTGGGAGGCAGGTAGAAGGAAGGGGTGCAGATGCCCTCTGGAATCCCACAGAGGCAGCCAGAAGCCAAGTGTGGAGGACAATGAGGCTCATGGTAGAATGAACTCAGAACTCCTTCTTGCCCCTTCCTTCTCTCCCCTCCTGCCTTCTCTCCTCTCCTTTTCTTTCCCCATTGCCTCTCCAAGGTCCTTCTCCCTTTCCCCCACTTCTATGGCCCTAAATTGAATTGTGAAGAGAGAAGGTAAGTGTCACCTAGTTTATCTGTGGAATCAGGTACATTACACCTTCACCTGATGGGACGGACTGCACTTCATACTTGGAGAAGGGGCTGTGTTTGATTCCCAACTTCTGTTTTTGACCTTGAGTACCTTGAGATCTAGGAATGTCAGCAGGCAGCTGTAGGAGGGGCCACTCAAAATGCACAGAATTTGAAGAGACGATTGGCCTAGCTGAGGCAGAGGTTGGAGATGTCATCCTCTGAGGGCCTGTCAAGTTCTACAGTAATTTCAGTCTAGAGAACCTGAAGGATGGAGGAGGTGCAGGCAAGAAAGCCAGCTCTCCAGTGTTAATTGTCTTGGTGCCAAAGACTCACCTGTCTCACCTGCAGAGCCATCAAGGTAGGGCTTATCCAGGATGGGGACTGTGAGGGAGTGTGCATGCAGGCATATGAGTGTGTGCCTGACATGTCCAACAGTAGACAAAAAGTATCTTTTAATTCACCATTAATTATGTGGAGGTATCAGTGCTCTTGCTGGAGAAGCTTCTAGAGATGAGGCACATCCTAGCCATGACCCTAGCATTAGATCAGCAACGGGGAAGTGTGAGACAGACATGGCTGATGCTTCTCAGGTGCTGTATGTGGGTGTACGATGTGGTGTCTGCACCTTAGATCTTTCTGTCTGCTTCAGAGGCTGTGCCTCTTTCTGTCCTTGGCAGTTCTGTCTGTCCACCTGCCCTACCCTGGGCAGGCCTGTTGGGCTACAGCTCCCCAGAGGAAAGGGTGAGGTGGGGTTTGGAGAGATCTGACTCCCATGAGCTCTGCTCGTTTGGCTGCTGGCAGACAGAACCACGTGCCGAGTGCTGCTCATTAGCCTGGGAACCAAGGCATCGCTGTGCTCTGGAGGCTCCAGAGCATCAACGGCTCCTCCCTGGCCTGAGACAGTGCTGGGAAAGGACTGGGGCCCAGGGACAGTGGAAGGGATTCAGTAATCTTGGACCCCCAAATTCCCTTCCTGCCTTTGTCTAATCTGTGGCCCCAGAGTTCTCCAACTTGTTTCCTGGACCTGCACACGACCCCATCTCTCGCCTGTACCCATCTTCCCGGTGCTTCCCAGGCTGCTTCTGCCTGCTTCATCCTCCTCCCTGCTCATCAGACTCTCCCACCAGGATCTCCTTTGTCCCACTCCTGATTCTTCTCCCCGCCCAGCACCGCCCTTGGCCGAAGATGCAACGGCAGCAGACAGGGAGGTGCTCTGCTTCCATGCTCCACGTTTGAAGCAGCTGGGGCATCACTATTCTCCAGGCACGCCACCCCAGGTCCCCCTCCATGCCTTTGGGTGTGTTATTTCCTCTCCTGGGAAAGCCCTTCCTCTTTGCTGGGCTATTACAAGAAACAGCTCAGATACAACCGCAGCCTTCCTTGGTCTCTCAAGATCCTCTCCTTGGAGGTTCACTATTCCTCTGAGCTCTCCTTGCACCCAGAGTCGGTCTCTAACATGGCTCTTACTGTATGATTCTGAAATTAGTGGTAGATGTGTTTGTTTCTTTGATCTGACCATGAGCTCTTCATGGAACGGGCAGGTCCAAGATCATCTTTGGCTCTTTGGCATGCACAGCAGTGCCAGGCACACAGTAGGTACCCAGCATATACCACTTATTGAGCTGCACTGAACACTGGTGGATTCACCCACTCAGGATGCCGTAACAAAACAATAACAGATAGGATGGCAACAAATTTATTTTCTGGAGGCTGAAAGTCCAAGACAAGATGCCAATAAGATTGCTTTCTACTGAGGCCTCTCTCAAACATGGCTGGCCACCTTCTGGCCGTGTCCTCACATGCCCTTGTCCTTTATGCTCATGTAGAGAGAGAAATCTCATCCTCTTCTTATAAGAGTCCTACCCATGTGACCTCATTTAACCTTGATTAGCTTCTTAAAGACTCTATCTCCAAATAAAGTCACATTGGGGGTCAGGGCTTCATCCTATGAGTTCTGGAGGCACACGATTAGTCTGTAACAATTGATGAACTTGGATTTAGGAGACAGGGGCTCATGGACTAATTTTAACCTAGCTGAGAGCCTTTGGGCAGCAAGCCCTTATCCTGCAGGAGCCTCAGCTTCTCCATCTGTAACATGTGGCCAGTACATGGGGTGTTGAGAAGCTGAAATGAGATCATGGCTGGAGGGCATTTTATGGACTATAAGTTCCTACATGATAATAATGCCTTAATTATTCCTTTATCTTACAAGTATATCATCTTGCAGTTCACAATGTGATTTTAAATGTCTATCATTCAACATATGTGCAAGAAATCATTATTGTTATTATTGCTGAAGGAATACCTAAAGGGGAAGTTGGTTTATAATCCATACCCACTGCACTGCTTGCAGAAAGGATTTGAAGCAGCTGCTGATGCAAACTCCTGTGCATGAAAGGGCATTATCTCTCACTTCTCACAGAGGCTGCAGAAAAGGCCCAGGAAGGTGTTGATGAAAGAGATGACCACCAGGAGAATCTGGAGGAGGCTGATGCACAGAAGGCCAGTGAAGAAGGACACATGCCAAACAACAGCTTTAGAAGGCTCCAGGCAGACAGAGTTCCAGAGTGAATGATCATGCAAATAATTCCTATCCCAAAAAATAAAGAGACCAGAAGTTGAGGAGTAAGTAAGAAAAACCAAATAAGCAACCTCAGTAGAAAGCTGGGGCCTCCCTCAGCTCGGGTCATAGGCTCAGACTCCTGAGGGTGACCACTGTTGCTGCATTTGCAATTTTTTTTTTCTGAGCATCTAAGGAGTGAGATTCTAGAATGCATGACCAAAAGGAGTTTGTAGTCCACCCGTGCTTCTTTCTGTCTCTCCCTCTTTTGCTCTCTGAAAAGATTGCACATCCAAGTCTCCATCCATTTACCTGTTAGGAAGGTCTTTGAATGGGTACCCATGTTTCCAAGCTTGAGTCTGATTGAAGGATGCAACATCGAACATGCAAAAAGGACCATCTTTCAGGGCTACTCCAGAAGTGATAAAGCAAATCAAGGCTCCAAGCAAAGCCAGGCCACTTGACAACAGAGCAGTAAGCATCTGCAGAGGGAGAGAGGAAACAACCTGAGATGGGGTCATGATGGGGTGACTTGTGAGGCAATCTGGACGAGTCTAACTTCCCTGGTGCTCAGCCTTTGCCCATCACATCACATGGGAATAATCCTACCCATGGCACCTCCTTTAAAGCACATCCTGCTGGGTGGCTGATGTGGGGTCATTGGCTAAAACCAGGAAGAGATGGGAGAGAGAGAACTGAGTAGGGGAAACACTGGCACTTTACCCAGATCTCCCTGACTTGGCAGGCCCTTTGGAGTGTCTCAGCAGGTGGGCATCAAAACTATTAGGCTAAGACTGCAGTCACCCAGCTCTGGGTTAAAGAGTCAGACTGGTTATTGCATGCCCAAATCTAAGTCTTTTAAGGGAAAGTTGTACTTTCAAAAGTTCCAAGCTCCCATCCTTGCTTCTTTCTCAAATCAAGCATGGAAGGATGGAAGAGAGGAAGGATGGAAGGAGGTAGGGAAGGAGGGAGGGAGACGGAGACAGAGATTACAGTCAGCTCTGAAATGTAATGCTTTTCTAGTTTGTGCACCACTCACTTCCCTCCCAAAAGGTAATGAGTGTGTTTCCTTGGCGGGATTCTAGCTTGCTTCCCAGTTGGCTTCTTTCTCAGGATGCTAGATTTCCCCCTACACCCTTATCACATAAGAATACATATTTTTAAAATTTAAATATAATATGCATAAAGTTTTTATACAAATCATAGAGTCATTTTCCCAGTGATGTCAAGCCTGTTTGGAACTTGGAAGGGGCCAGAGAAAGGTGACTAGGAAGTCTTGACTCTAAACTGAAAGATTCAAGATGAGTAAGTCTGACGGAAGTCTAGGACACTGGTTCTCAAAATGAGGTTCCAGTCCCGGAGCATCAAATCACCTGGAAACTTGTTAGCAATGCCAATTTTCCTGCTTTACCCCAGACTGACTGAATCAGAAACTCTGAGGGTGGGGGCCCAGCAATCTGCATTTTTAACAAACCCTTCAGGGAATCTGACACACACTCAGGTCTGAGAAGCAGTGTCCAGATTTAATTTTTTAACATAATTCTGAATTAGTGGGGTTCCCAATACAGGGGCTGCAGAGATCAAAACAGGCTGCTGAGTTACTGTAAGGAGGCCACAATTCATGTGTCTGAGGCTGAATAAGCAGTATATCTGATACATATAGGTACTGAGATTTTTTTCAAATATATATAGATGCTGCTGTAATTAAATATAAATTTATTCTGGGCCTCAGTTTCATTATCTGTAAAATGGGGGAGTTGCACTAGAATCTAGTCATTAGATGATCTCTGGAAAAATCTTCCAGCTGTAAGGAGATTACGCAAAACAGCCAGGAAATTTTCCATCAATGACACCTGATTACAATGTAGATAACTCATGTTCATATTGTTCAATAGGGTAAAAAAATAAAAACAATTCTTCACATTTGTATAGACATTTCTGGTTCAATAAGGACTTATTCCCTTGACTTGATCCTGTTAACTCCCATTTTACAGATGAGGACCTGAGGCTTAGAAAGGTTAAGCAACTTGCCCAAGAGTTTAGGGTCATTAAGGGATATGATCAGGACCCGACTTCAAACCTGAGGACTGAAATTGCCTCTTTACCACTTTGCCTCTAAAGTAATAGAATGTGGGGACATTGTAGGATTAGAAGAGTGGAATCCCTTGCTTACGCTTCGGCAGGGCCCACTCTTACTGAAGCAGCCATATCTCCAGCCCATCAAGGAGATGAGGAGACCTGCAGTGAATACCTGGGAGAGGAGAGAAGAATGTTAAGAAGATGAATGGGCCAGTTACATTTCTAGCTTCCACCTGTGGCTGCTGAAATAGAGCGGTTGGCACCTCACACAGAGTTGATTATCCTGTCTTTCTCAGAGGGTTTCGCTTTGACTGCCAGGATCCAATTGTAGATGACTAGCTGATCTCTGTGGAAGGCAATGTTCACACCCTAGTCCCAAGCCAAATTCCAGCAACCCTTGACAAGTCTTAGAGTATTCTCCTATCCCTTTGAATTGCTATAGACCCAAGACCAGCTTATTAGATCAAACTTTTTTGCAAGGAATCAAAACAGTTCTCCCCTCACACATCCCTGCTCCATCTCTGGTGGGAGTTCATATCCAGGGAACCCCCAGACACTTACCATGAGGCCTCCTCCCCAGAGCCCAGAGCCCAGCATGGCATGCCTGCCAATGAGGCCCCTCAATAGGTAGGTCACATCCCAGTTAGGAAAGAGGAGCATCATGTTGGTCCCAGCAGCACACAGGGCTGTAGTCCCCAGGCTTAGCCCCAGGATGCGGGAGCAGGTACGTGAGCATGCCATCACACAGGGAGGGACAGTGGGCAGTGTCCTGCAACCAATGGAAGGAGGGTCATGGCAGGACCTGCTGGGAACATGGGGTGGGGAACCCCCATAGCATCACATAGGTGATACTGCCACCTCCCAGGGTCAGATCAAGAAGAGCCAAGGAACTTGCTTAGAAACTCTACCTCTTGTAAATATTCCACAATGGATAGGATCTATTTGCTCCATTTTCTGCCATTCCCCATTCACATACACACACATACTTCCCAACCCATCATATTTTGCTTGTACCTCTATTACAGCCAGTGATTATTTCTATCTGGTACAGAAAAACACAATTTTTAAAGGCATTATCCTTTCCCTTTAAAAGATATCATTTTAAAGATGTCCATTGTTACCACTCCCATTCAACATTGTACAGGAGTCCTATCCAGTGCAAAAAGAAAACAAAAGAAGCAAAAGCCATACACGCAGGAAAGAAAGAGGTAAGAATTGTCATTATTCACAGGTAACGTGATTATTTATGTAGAAAATACTAAGGAATCTATGAAAAAGTTACTAGAACTAATAGATAAGTTTTAAAAGGTAATTAAAAATTTAATATACAAAAATTCTATTGTATTTCTATATACAGGCAGTGGTAAATTATAAAAGTTAAAAACAATACACTTGCAATATAATAAAAACAGAAAATACTTTTGATAAATTTAGCAAAGTGTATGCAAGATATGTACACTCAAAATTATAAAACATTACTGAGAAAAACTGAAGAAGACCTAAATAAATGTTGAGATATGCCACATTGTTCATGGATCAAAAGACTCAATATCATTAACACATCATTGTCTTAAATTGGTGCATGGATTCAATGCAATCTCAGTCAAAACCTTAGCATGGTTTTGTGGTATAAATTGACCAGCTGAGTCTAAATTTATATGGAAATGCAAAGAACCTAGATTAACCAAAACAATTTTGAAAAAGAACAACAAAGTTGGAGGATTTACACCATGTGATTTCAAGACATTATAAAGTTACAGTAATACAGAAGTGAAGTAATGACATATAAAGTCATATAGACCACTGGAACAGACTAGAGAGTTCTGAAATAGACACATATATATGACCAGATGATTTTTGAAAAAGGTGTTCAGTGAGAAAAGGATAATCTCTTTAACAAATGGTGCTGAAACAATACATATGCAAAATGAAAAATACATACTTTGACTATTACTGAAAACCATATTCAATTAATTTGAAAGGGACCATAGGTCTAAACTTAATAAAAATGTCTAAAAGAAAGCAAAGAAAATCACTGGGATCTTGGGTTAGAAAAATATTTATTAACTGAAATACAAAAAGTACAACCCATAAAAATGGTAAATTAAGTTATTTCAGAATTGAAAATGTGCTCTTCAAAAGACACTATTAAGGAAAGAGGCAAACAACAGAGTGGGAGAAAATATTCACAGTATATATTTTGTGAATGTGAATACACAAACATCTGACAGATTTGGATCTAGAATATATAAAGAACTCTTAAATTAACTCTGTAATAAGAAGACAACTTGATGAAAAAATGGAAAAAAGATTAGAACAGACACCTCATTTCATCTAGCCAAAGGTTTGTGGATGATATCTAAGAACATGAAAACACCAGATATAAGGAAGTGCAAATTAAAACAAAAATAAGAGCCTACTATACACCCACTGGAATTGTTACAATGAAAAAATTGGACTATACCAAGTGTCGGTGAGGATGTGGAGCAACTGGAACTCTCATAGATAGCTGGTGGGAATGCAAACAGCACAACTTTGAAATCAACTTTGCAGGTTCTTGTAAAATTACACATTCATTTATTAAATAATCAAGTAATTCCACTTCTAGATATTTATTGAAGAGAAATGAAAACACATGGTCACACAAAGACTAGTACTTGAATGTCCACAACAGCTTTGTTCATAATAACTGAAAATTAGAAATATGGAACCAACCTAAGTGTCCACTAAGAGATGAATAGATAAATGTTGTCATAAATACATGTAATGGAATATTATTCAGCCATAAAAAGGAATGTAGTTCTAATATATGCTAAAACATGGATGAAACTTGAAAACATACTATATGAAATAAACCAGACACTAAAAGGACAAATATTGTGATTCCACTTATATGAAATATCCAGGCTGGGAAAATTCATAGAGAAAGGGGATGGGGAAATGGGGAATTACTATTAATGGTTACAGAGTTTCTATTTGGGGTGATGAAAAAGTTTTAGAAATAGATTGTGACAATGGTTACACACATTGTAAATTTAATTAATGCCTCTGTATTATACTCATTGAAAGTTAAAAATAATAAATTTTGTTATACATATTTTACCAAAATAGAAAATCAATTAAAAAATGAGAAAATGTTCATTAAAAGGTGAATAAATTGTGGTATATCTGTACCATTGAGTACTCCTACTACTAAGCAATACAAAAGGATAAACAACTGAGACATGCAGCAACATGGATGAATCTGAAAAGCACTATGCTATGTGAAAGAAGCCAGAAACAAAAACAACTCATTGTATGATTTTGTTCATATGAAATTCTAGAAAAACCAAAACTAGTGACAGAAAGCTGATCAGTGGTTACCAGGGGCTTGGAATGCGAGAGGGGATTAATATAAGGAGCATTAGGAAACTTCCTGAGGTGATGGGAATGTTCTATATCTAGATTCTAGTGGTGAATATACAACTGTATGTATTGACAAAATGCATTAAACTGTACTCTTTAAACTGGTGATTTTTACTGTATCTTAATTGCATATAAATGAAATCATTAAAAAATTAAATATCATGTCTAGATAAGTTATAAAATGCCTCCTCCACTCCTTTACTTACAGTCATTTTTCCTTTTTGCATTTTAACTGATATATGAACTTATTATTTTTAAAAATATGAATTAGAACAGGATTAGTGAAATTTGGATAGACCATGTCAATATAAATCTGAAAAAAAAAATATCAGTGCCCTGACATCCTCAAGAAGTTGTTTCTTGCCACTTTGCAATTCAGTTACATATCTGTCTCACCTTAAGGCTCTTGACACCCCTGCTATACATTGCTTTCCACGCAATCAGAAAATATGTATGAATCAGAGCCACCCCCCTTACATCTAAGCGTACACATACATACATAATGAAATATTTCAGAGTTTAAAGAATTAAACAATGTGCAAAATAGATGTGTACTTGTAAGTTGTACGGAATAATTAAACAACACCCATGTAAATACAACCAGTTTACAAAATCCTCCTAACATTACTGAAACCCTAGATATGCCCTCTCTAATCCTACCACCTTCCTGGATTCCTTCCGAGGAATGACTATCCAAAAGTTTTATCTCTTTGTACCTTTTTAAAAAGCTTTATAACTTATAAACTCAATTTAAAAAAAACTTGATTAACCTAGCATTTTACATGTCCAGACTGGAGCTTATGGTAGAGACTGCTGCCAGACACACCACTGAGTAGGCCATTTGATTGGGGGTACTTTCTTGCCCCCCTCTCTCATTCCCCAGTCCCTGAAGACCTTGGTGACCTTTGCTTCCCCCACTCTCAGAGCCCATGTTCATCTCCTGTTCCTTCCGAAGATCCTGCTGCAATTGCTAATATTTTAGTGCGATGAGCTGCCTTCACTTTGTGTACTCTGCACACAGGGTACTGGCTCTCTAAGCAGTGTATCTCACAGTGAATAAAATTTGTGCCTTGGTGAAAGGAAGTTCAAGTCTTGGCGGGGGGGTGTACATGTTGGGGAGTTGGGGGGTAGGATATGAAGGAACAGCAGCCCTTCCCCCCAGGGTACAAGTGGCCTGGGGTAAGGGTGGGGATGGGGGATTAGGAGGGATGGTGTGTTCCCACCCCTCCTCTGCGCTCCCCAGGCTGACCCACCACAGGAGGCCTCTTTTTCTGAAGTAGGGTCCCTAGCAGGGCAGCTTCCTCCTCAGGTCCTCAGGGCAAGGAGCCTACCCTGCTGTTGGGAGGCAGGACATCTCTAGGAAAACAGCCCTCCCCCTACCTCCCCAGCTGGTCGGTAGTACTGACCTACCGTTGTGATGTCCTGATGCCAAGTGTGCAGTCTGGGCAGCCTCCCTCCCAAGACCAACCAACCACGTGCGCCTCTGTCTTGGAGCAAATTAACCAATTCGGGGTGTGAGCAACTAAATGACTTTCATCTGCACCCCTCCCAATGACTGATATTTTGTAAGGATTGGTGTGTGGTTGGACTTTGAAGCACATGCTCTAGACCACAGGCTAGTTTTTGTTCAGAAATGCTTTCAACCACTTTTGAATCATTCCACCCATGAGTAAGGCCTGTCTAGACACAGATCACCAAAATAATAATCTTTTCTATGGAAATTTTTCCTCTCAGGAAAGTTTAGAAGGGCAACTAAAAAATATGGACAGAGGGAAAACAGAAGTTGAGCATGGCTGTTGGATGAGTGGAATCAGAGAATCCTGGCTGTCCCACTCATCTACTAAAGGCACTTGCTGTGCTGCTCCATCTGGGAGAGCTGGAGCTTAACATGAATTTCACTTCCTCTCCCTGACTTTGTTCCCTAGAAATCACAGCATTCTGACCAATGTTTCCACAAATGTGAGCCAGGATATTAGCAAGTATCTAATTTGCTAATTGACATCTGAACAGACAAGCAGGGTCATAAGGCAAAACCATAAAACCAAGCTTCAGGCAAAGCTGTGTTCTCACCAGAGATCCTGGGTAGGTAAACATATCATTGGCTAGAAGCCTGGACAACAATCAAGTGATCTGCTAAGTCATATGGAAGAGATTGTGTCTACTTCACACCTCACCTAGTCAGGCTTTTCTTTCATTCCTTCTTCAAATATTTATTCAGTGATCACTTTCTGCCAGTCACTACACTAGGGGCTGGGGATGCAATGGTGAATCAGCGACAGTCTCTTCTCTTGAGGGATTTAAAGTTTAGTGGGGACAGGACAGGCAATAAGCAAGTGCCCTGCAGAGGTGTCTGACATGAGGTGTCATGGAAACACACAGAGGGTCACTTGATTGTGCTGTGTGGGAGAAGGCAAAACGACCCTGGTAAAGTGCTGTCCATGCTAAGAATTGACAAGAAGGCATTAGGCAAGTTGGGAAGACTGGAAGTTGACAGACTGAGGCAACGATTGGTTAAATGAATCGTCTTAAGTCAACACAGCTGCTCAGTGGCAGAGCCAGGGCTCAGTTTGAATTGGAACTTTGTGCTCTTAATTGTTAGACTAAACTCTTCCCTGGCCATCACCTCACTGGGTCCCTTTGCCTCTGCTTACCTGAATCTGGTGTAAGAGTCAGGATGGGAGAGAAAGGAGCTGGGGAAGGGCTCGTCTTCAGTGGGCCTGTGCTCCTGCAGCCTCAGCTGAGACTCCAGCAGGGCTGGACCTGAGGCTCCCCGCTCAGGACTCTGAGAGCCCAGGGAGGGTCTGTATATACGTAGAGGTCACCCAGGCGAGGCTGCGCGTGCCCCCACCCACTGCCCATGAGCCTCCATTGAAGGAGCTTTCCTCTTCCTGGAGAGCCCTCTCCTGATGACCCAACCTCTGCTCATTTTCATGTGACCCTAAGGAAGGAACTAGGAGGCAAGGCCTCGTGAGCTAAAATGTCTTCATGAGTCAGAGGACTGCCCATGAGAAATACCTTCTCCCCTCTTCTTTCCTGAGCAGCCACATTTTTTCCCTTTTTCTAAGCTGCCCGTATCTGTTTCACTCACTGCAGAATTTGGGCCTTTTAGCTTTTGGCTGTTCTTTTTATGTAATTTGTATAAATGGATCTTATCGTGTAAATGGAATTTTATGTAATTAGATCATACAGTGTGCACATTTTTATGTCTTGCTTTCTTCACTCAATATTATACTTGCAAGATTCATCCACCATGTAATGCATTTTTTAAGGCTGTTATGCCCTTGTTTGACTATATTACAACTTATTCTACTATTGATAGACATTTAGATTATTTTCAATTTTTTGCCCATTATAAATGCTGCTGCTATGAACACCCTTACACAATGTCTTTTGGGGGACCTATGCACTGATTTTTCTAGGGAATATAAGGAGTGGGACTGCTGCTTATTGTCACATAGTCACTCAAAGTGGTCCTATCAATTTATACTCCCACCAACAGTATGTGGATCTCAGTTGCTTCACATTATCACCAGCATTTTTATTTTAGGCATTCCAGTCGGTGTTGAGTAGGATCTCATTGTGGTTGTGATTTGTATTTTCTTGGTGAGTAAACACCTTTCCATACACTTATTGGCCATTTGGAAATCCTTTCTGGAGAAGTGCCTGCTCAAGTTGTTTGCCCAGTTTTTACTGGTTCTGTCTTTTTCTTACTGGTGTGTAGGTTTCTTTATAATTTCAGGTATGAGACTTTTGTCAGATACATGTTTTGAATGTTTTGTCCTATCTGTGGTTTGCCTTTTTACTCTGTTAATGACATCTTTTGCAAAATGAAGACAAGTTCTTCATTTTAATTAAATCCCATTTATCAGTTTTTTCCTTTATGGTCACTGCTTTTTGTGTCCTATTTAAAATATCTTTGCCCACTTCCAACTGCATTTTGACTTACTCCTATATTTATATGCCTCTTCCCCCACAACTGTGAGATCCTTGAGGGCAGAGGCTGTCTTATTCTGCTCTGTATACCCAAAACCTAGCACAGAGCCTGGAATATGATAGGAGTCCAGGAATCATTTAATGAATTAACCCAGGCACTGGATGAAGTTAACACACATAGTAGCAAACTCTGTGCACATTTTACTTCTAATGATGAAAACAACACTGAGAAAACCCTTGATGCATATATATGAGAAGGGATAATTATAACTGGCTATTACAATCTTTTAAACTGTATATGAGCTGCTTTCAATGGATGAAATTTCTATGTATGCAGATGTGTATGTGCCTGAAGCAAAAGCTGGGAAACAGCTACTGGGAAGTTCATTAAGTAGGTTCCAGTTTTCATTGTCATTGTAAAAGGGAATCATTTAGAGCCTAAATGAATTTGTGTCTTCCCAGAGAATTGGATTTTGATAGATGATTCTAGGTTAAGGATTCACAAAGCTTTATAATAAGAAAAAACATTAATTCACCTTATAAAACACACTTGCCAACTATCTCATTAGATCCTTTTACAACAGACCTAATGCAAGTAAAATAAATGTTAGGCTAGCTTTGTTCAGCAGAGATTATCACCCAGAGGAGGAACAGTAAGGTGGGGGTATGATCCCATGTCATCTGACTCCACACTGTACATACTCTCACACACTGATGCTGCAAATTTTTTTTCCTACCCAGATTCCACGTAACTTAAGATATTTCTTCTTGGAGGCAGTACTGTGGTGCTTTGGCTGCTTAGAGATCTAGGTCTCAATTTCTGCTGTGAAAACCTATTAGCTGCTACGTGAGCTTGGGTAGTTCACAGAGCCTCAGTAATGATCTGGGCCTCAGTTCTTCATTTATAAAATAATGCCTATCTCACAAGTATATTTTGAGAATTAAATAAGATGCAAGATGCCTGCAGTGGATAGTCCTCTCCTTCTGGTTTTGGATCTCAGCTTAGTAAAACGGAGTTTATATGTGGTGTGTTAAAACATCTTGTAATTAGGCAATTAGAATGATCTGATGGCTGACTGCCAGATTATCACTCAGATTTTTAGGTTATCTCTGTTCCCAACCCATTGGCTTATGTAACACCAGACACTGTCATATGAATATCATTAAAATGGTGCTTGTGCAGCAGAGAAAAGTGCTGGAATTTGCTTTAATGCCTTGAAGTGCCAAACGTAGTTGGAGCTGGTGATGGCAGCTGTCAGTCATTGTTCCTTAAGGTAGATGTGTAACAATTCAGTGATTAATCTTACGAACACTTCTTTTAGGAACTATACGTTTGTAATAAAGTTTTACTAAGTAAGGCCAGCTTTAGGTCAAGTTCATCACTTGCCTGTGGCAAGTAAGCTGTTTATGGTAAGAGGCCTGGTCACTGCCATGAAAGGACTGAAGTGTTACCTTTTTACATATGTGTTAGAAATCTTAGAATTTGTCTCTATTGGAGGCACAGGTAGTAGCTTATCACTACGTTGGTGATTATTTTTATGGAGAAGCAAAGGGAAGTCTAGGGAGGGCACAAATTAAGAATGGGGCCTGGGTGGAAAAATAATTTGTCTAATGCCATACAAGGCTTCCTGAGGTTGAAAGGCTTGGGAGAACAGGATAGACACATGTTCCATTCTCGGGGATATTGTGGGGTCAGGATGTGAGATTTGAGCAAGGGATAGAGGAAGTTGAGAAAATAGAATTCACTGGAGGAAGGGAAAGGGAAAAGATGATGACAATCACGCAAGTCTTCCCTCAAAAGAGACAGACTAATCAGCTTCCTTGTGGGAGGGTTCCAACCTCAACCAGTAGCTGACTAATTTAGAGAACATTCCCTTAATTGGAGGGTGATAAAGAAAGGAAGATAGGAGATGTTGAAAGAGTTGCTATTTATACCAGTCCACTGGGAACTTTTTTTTTTCTTCATTAGTATAAAAACATTACAAACTTCAACCCACTCCAATTAGCCTTCCATCTTCAACATCACACTGAAACTCTTTCCGTCTCCCAAATACTTCTTGTATCTATTGAACCCTTTGCTGTCCTTTTTACCTGGTCCCTAGGTAGAATTAGATGTAGCTAGCCACTAGATCCTTCTTGAACATTCTCCTCTTGGTTCCCGTGACACCTCACTCTGGTGTTTCTCCTCCCTCCCTGCCTATACCTCCTTGACTGGCCTCAGTATGTTGGTGGGTTCTGGGCCTCTCTTAACTTGCTCTCTAGGTGATCTCAATTCTTCCCATGGGACCAAACTCCATCTATAATGCTGATGATTTCTCCAATCTCCTAGTCCAGTCCATGTCTCCTCTAAGCTCCAGACTCCTATGTCCAGCTTCCTATACTATACCTGCCCTTAAGTATCACAAAACATCCCAAATTATTTCTTCCCCACCAAGCTTGCTTATTCCACCAGTCTTCCCACCTCAGTAATGACATGGTTACCTACCCACTTCCAGAAACTTTAGTCATTCTTTATTTCTCTTTCCTTTGTTCCCCCACATCTAATCCAATAGTCTCTGAATTTCTACCTTAAAAATATATCTCTATCTCTGGTAACTTCCTGCACTGATGGACAGTAACTGCATTGGGGTATGGGTGGGGACTTGATAATGTGGGTGAATGTAGTAACCACATTGTTTTTCCATGTGAAACCTTCAGAAGAGTGTATATCAATCATATCTTAATAAAAAAAAATGTATCTCTAATCTATCACTACTTCTAAGTTCCATTGCCAGTATTCTGGTCCAGGCAAACCACCATTTACTACCTCAATCATTGCAATAGTCTCTATTGTTGCTCTTTTAATACACTCTATGTAATAATGACTTTCATACACTTGGAACACTATTTGAGCTCCTTATCAGGGCTTCATGAGGCTTTGCATGATCTGACTTACTCATTTTATGCCACTCCTTTTGTTCACTACATGCCAGACACACTGGATTTGTGTCAATACCTCAAATACATCAAAAACTTTCCTGCACCAGTCTCTGCACTTGTTGTTCTGCTTGGAAGTTTCTTCCTAGTCTTAGTGTGGGCCTTCTTTTGATCCTTCAGATCTTGGCCTAAATGTTAACTCATCATCTTATGTAAAGCAGAATTCTCTACCTGTTCCTTTTCTAGTTTTTTCCCACAGTATTTGAATCAAATCTGTATTTCTTCATGGTTATTGTCTATATTCCCAACGAAATAGAAAGTTTCTTGGGGGCAGGGGCTGTGTCTGTTTTGCTCATCACTGTATCTCTACTATTTGGAACACAGGCTAATTACAGCTAAGGATAGGCTGCCTGTGGCTGGAGAAATGGGAAAGGAACCCTATTGGCCCAGATTAAGTAGGATGCCCACTCTTTGGCGAGTCCACAGGCCAGCGAGACAAGATCTTTAAAGATGGTAGGTCCCATCAGTATATGTTGCTAAAGCATGAGGAATGAAATAGTTCCACAAGAGAAAGAGAAGCACAAACTTATCTCTGGGGTTACTGTGACCTAGGCAGTGGTCCCAATTTCTACTATCCAATATAATAATATCTCCTGGCTTTTCTCCCATTAATTGAGTAATGTTTTCCTCCTTCACTTGTTTAAGCTGAGTCATTAGTCATTATTGCTGGTCTGAAAGACTAGATGCTTGAATTGCCCAAATATGTCAAATACAGAATCCTACTTCCCTAACAACGGTAGCTAACCAAATGATTTCATGACAATTCAATATTTATAGAGTGCTTACCTTAAATGTTCAACATACTACTAGAAGCAGAGAAGCTAAGAGACATTACTCTTGACAATGGGACTATGAACTAACTTTTGTCAATAAATACAAGCGCCCTAAACATGAGGTATGAGAGCAAACTTCTGAAACCTGAACTGTATTAATAAAAGTAGTATCCAGAGAGTCTCACCTCACAAAAACAGTAACAAAAGAACTATACTGAAAAGTTTTTGCTTTTATTTCCAAGATCAAATATTACAACAGGACATTTACATGTATTTATAAAAAAATGCAGCAGTTGAATTTATAGATCAGAGGTTTCCTTGAGTTTGGTCCCTCTCTCAGCACAGTGAGCTGATGTCTTCAAAAGACTTATCGTCCCACTCCCCTTCCCTCCCCTCCCCCACCCCAATAACCCCTCCCCCCCTACGCAATTCAAGTTGCAGTATCAATATAAAGCAACTGGGTACAACACAGCAAGAATATTCACAATTTGGTACAGCCAAAACCAGAGGATCACCAACTGAAAGACCCTCATTTTAGAAATTATTTACCTATAGACTATGTGTATCTATAGATATATCACACCCAGTTATCTAAGATTTCCCCGGTTTTAGAGCAAGTGGAAGTTCCATTGAGTCTTAGCTAGCAGTTACAGCTCTGCTTTGTCTAATGGCATGTTTTTCTCCTCCTACAAGCTTAGATTTTCTATGGCCTCCATGTGTCTTCAAATTTATGGCTTTCCCTAGCACCTTTATTATCACTTACTAGATATACAGGAGGGTCTCTAGTGTGTCTTGAACAAAAAAATTTAGTGGATGATCCAGTTGCCTCTTGCTCACTGGTCCCAAAGCCTTCGTCCTATTTTTGAGAAGAGCTGCAGAAACAAGTATCTCCTAGCACCATGGGATTAAAAGCCCAGAAAACTGAGAACTACATGTGCATTCTAGGGAGCACTTGCCAGAAACACTAAACAGGCACTGTCTCTGTCCATTATCTTCCTGGATTCAATAACAGTTACACTACAGATTCAAATTAGAGCCTGTCCTGCAATAAGAATGCAAATTTCACTAAGACCACCACTTCGTCCAGAATATGTTGAGTACACAAACACCCCCAGGGAATCTCTAAATACTGTTAGGAACTGTTTGAGAAACACTTTAAAGCAATACCCCAAGTTGACTTCACTTAAGTCCCCAACCCACCCCCATCCCTATCCCCAAACAAATTTCATTCCTTGATTAACCTCTCTGAATAAGATGGGAAGTGAGGTTTGAAAAATAACACGAAAAATGTTTAAAAAACACAATTATTGAAGACATGCCAGAATCGGACATCTCAGATGATTTAAAACGCATGGTTCATACTGAACTCATACAAAGCATGCACAGAGCCTACAGACACTCCTGAGAGTTTCCATGGAACAATCAATACCTACTTGAAAAGGACTTTGTTTCTTAAAGGGTTAAACAAACAAACAAAAAAAGACAACAGATGTTTAGAAGGTAACAATCAAAAGGAAAACCATTCTAGAAAGATACTTAAAGTGAATAAAATTGTGTCTAACAGATTCATTCCAAAGCTTGGATGGAAGCCCCTCAAAGTCTAAGTATCATGTTAGCATCAACTGGTACTCATTTCTCTATATCTAAGACTAGAGGATTATCTCATAGCTTAACTGTCTGTTTCCCAACAAGTGTTTTAAATAGCCTTTGCAAACTGAAAGGACACTCCTAGTTAAGTAACATGGCCCAAGTCCCCAAATGGGTAAGATAAATAGCCCCTACTACAAACTTGCTACTCATTAACTGAAAAGTGAAGGTTACATGCTACTTTAATTCTAATTAGCAGGTAAAAGGGGATTTTCTGGTAGCAATTGTAACTCCATGTGACGCTTAACTAACAGGGCAATAAATTATCTAAAAGTTATATGATTAGTGTAAAAAACCTATTTATATTTTGAATCACACCACTTATTGATATTTTCCATTATTAAGAACACAGAAACTTTGAGAAAAGCGTACTATAAAACCATTTTGTTGAAAACAGCAAGATACCCAACTGAGAGTTAAATTCCAATGTCATAAGCTTGAAATAGATCCTGGTGACATGTACTCTAAAGCAAGTGACCTAAAAGCATTCTAAAAGCAGAATGGTAGGGAATGGTTCCAGAACAAGAATCTCTCCCTTATTAGTGAAGATGCCCATTTTGAGCTTCTGAAAGAGCAAATAAAAAAGATTTTAAGGAAGCGAGAATTCAATCCCAGTTCATAACTTCCCTAAGAATTTGAAATGCTTCCCATTGTATTTATTTACCATGTCTAGTAAATGAAAGATTGATGGTAGCTCAGTTAGGTTAGTAACTTCTTTTGATGGAAATAAAAGTTTTCCTATGTTTAGTACAATTTAACTTTAGTAGTCTTCCTATTTGAAAACTCAAGTGACCTTGCAAGAGATATAAAATCTTAGGGCCTTTGATCTCTACAGCAGAAACACCATTAAGCTCAATAAAACTTGCTGCTTGTTGCCACAGAATTAAGTACAACAAGGCAACTTACCACACTTATAAAATTAATCTGTGATTGTTCTTAGGCAAAATACTACTATTGGTAGTTTTATCTCTAATCCTACAAGTAAAGTAAATCTGGTTATCTTTTGAAAATACTTTACAGAAATGTTAAATTATGTTTCATTATAGTAGTTCACATTGGATTGCCCAACCCTACTTTGAGATCATATAGCAAAGAAAGGCCAGTACCAAAAATTATGATATATATGAGAATGACTGAGAATCTAAGCAGTCCAATAGCATTCTGTAAGCCGAAAGGGGGTGGGGAGGAGGACTCTCATGGAGCTAGCTGTTTTCATTTGAAATAAGAGAATTCTTAAGCAAGAGAAAATGAGCTCTAAGAACAATGTTTGCCTCAAATTCTTCCCTCACATATTAATTTATAAAAAAATGAAAAATGTTAACATATTACAACTTAGAAATGGAATTTCTTAAACATAGCCAATTTCATTAAACATGACATTTTCAGAGAATGGATGTCAAAAATCAAGAATAGAGAATGGAAAAGTTAGTTTTAGCAACCTAAGTGTCCATCAGTAGATGAATGGATAAAAAAGATGTAGTACATATACACAATGGAATATTATTCAGCCATAAGAAGAAAACAAATCCTAACATTTGCAACAACATGGATGGAGCTAGAGTGAAATATGCTCAGTGAAATAAGCCAGGTGGAGAAAGACAAGTATCAAATTATTTCACTCATATGTGGAGTATAAGAACAAGAAAAAAAACTCAAGGAACAAAACAGCAGTAGACTCACAGAACCCAAGAAAGGACTAACAGTTACCAAAGGGAAAGGGACTGCAGAGGATGGGTGGGAAGGGAGGGACAAGAAGGCATTACAATTAGCAGACATAATGTAGGGGGTGGGGGGCATGGGGAGGGCTGTACAACACAGAGAAGATGAGTAGTGATTCTATAGCATCTTACTACACTGATGGACAGTGACTGTAATGGGCTATGTGGTGGGGACTTGATGATGGGGGGAGTCTAGTAACCATAATGTCGCTCATGTAATTGTAGATTAATGATACAAAAAAAAAAAAAGAAAAAGAAAAGTTAGTTTTAGAAGATTTTCTAATTAAGGGGTCTCATCACCACATCTAATAACCATGAGTTCACTACCATGAGTTCACTTCATGGGAGAACTATCAAAGTCATCATATCTCTATTAAAAAAAAACCTCTTGATTCTAAGTTGTCTGTCTAAGCAGGATTGAGCCAAAGATCAAAATAACCATTACTGAAATAATCACATTTCTACATAACTGGAGAAATCAACATTTGGTTTGGTATTCTCTGCTGGTTATTTTCAGTACTACAGTGCATTCTTGCTACTATTCTAAAATGTGTATATTGCAATAGTAAGTTTAATGGCAAGACAACAAACTGAAATGCTATGTGAGTCAAATAAATGAAGCTGAATATTCAGAGTACATAGCTCTCTTTATGTACAAAGCCTTTTCATCAAAGTTTATAGTTATTAGAAAACTGCCATTCTTCTTACTCTCATTTGGTTTTGCATAAACGTTACTTATTCATCAACCTGCAACCCATGACTTACTATTGAGTAGTGAAATGAAAGAGGGCCAAAGAAAGGGAGAGGGTAGAGGAGGGGACATGGTTAATACAAATGGAGATACACTCTATAGGATAATAAATACTTCTAAAAGTCAGCCTAATTCAATCTTGAAAAGTTGTTTCTGCCAAAACCAATTGTGAATTCTACAACTTAAGTCAATTTCCTAACAACTGCTCAGACAGTAATGTGCTTTGTTTAAGCACACAGGTAAAATAAAATTTAACTCTGGTGTTAGTGAAATATTGGCTATTAGTTACATTTTAGTCATGCTCAACACTAGGAACACAGCACTAAGTTTTTTAAATTAATGAATTGTGTTTAAAAGATCATTACTAGATCTTCAACTATTATACTCCCCTTTTTTGGAGATTTCAGTCATCACAGGATAGATCAAGTTACAGGGCAAATGAAACCTCAACACAGAAAGAGCCAAGAAACTGATTAACAAGTATACTTTAAATTAGCCCAGAGATAATATGTAGTGAAGGGGAGAGACCAGAAGCATTAAGTTTTGGAGAAAGGACTTCAGCGATAATCTAATTCAGTGTCTATAATCTGTGGGTTCCTAGAGTTTTTATAGGGGCTCCAATTCCATATGCACTTAGATTTTTCCTATCTGTGGAATTAATGACATTAACATTTAAACCCCAAATTCCACACTCCTGTCAAATTTTGAAATTATGAGTCCTTTCACTTGAAAAGACTGAGAATGACTGATCTAGTCCAATTCATTCTTTGTTAATTAGCAGCAGAGCTGTTATACAAGTCCACATATACCTACATATAGTGCCCTTCTGCATATCATATATAATGTACTATACATTTCATTTGTACCTGGGTAGAAAAATTAAGTTTTTCTTCTACTTTTCAGTTGCTGGTGACTCCCTCTGGTAGTTTCCTAAGTGTCCAAGAGAGATCCCTGCTAGCTAAAATCTTTAGTCCTGGGATCAATATACCATCCCTGGTTGGGCACTAGGGATGCCTTACTGATAAATGACATGCTCCAAGTTTAGTAGTTACAAAAGGCAGAACTAAAGAGTACAGGTGAGTCAAAAGAAAATTTGAGCTACAGAGTTTGACACTTTTCAGTTTTATTCTTTTGTGAAGACTTTCCTAATTAAAGCCTACACTATTCTTTCCCTTTTCTAAAACTCTATTGTAATTACAGTTCAGGCCCAGAAAGGCAAGCATTTACATGTTCTCCAATTATATCATGTGTAGTGTAGTGTATCTCTCCAACTGGATAAAAAAGGCAGAGGACTAGATATCAGACTTCAAGATATTTCCTATTTTGATTAAAGGATTCAACAAATAATTGTTGACTTACAGAGTCAATGAAGTAGAATTTTATGGAAGATTTAAAAACATACAGAGGGTTCAATAATCTGGTATGCATGGGACACTGAAAAGATAACCTTCATCTTTTCTGAAAAATGGTTTTTTAAAAATTATTTTTTATCCTTCCATTTATGCTTGATAATGTCACATAGTTATTTTCCTTTCACATTTTTCATCACTGCATCATTTTTAAAAAGCAATAATCAGCCCCTCAAAAAAATGGCATAAATAAGAATTTTCAGGCATAGTGCAAATCTCACAAGCTTTAAGGAAACAAAACCAAATGATAATTCACAGAGCCAAACAGGAAGATAACCTTCTGAGTAAACTGATTCCCTTTTTGTAGGAGACTACAGGATAGCATGGGAGTAAAAAAATACATGGACTCTGAATGCCAATTTTGATTTGCCACTTAACTAGCTTTGATATCCTGAATAAGTTATCTGAACTTAAACCTCTTTCTTACCTATAAAATGGGGAAAAGAGGCATTTTGTAGAGTTCTTAAGATTAAAGGAGAAAATGCACATAAAAGTACCTAGTACATGCTAGTTACTCAAAATTAGTTCCCCATTCTTCTCATTTGGCTGTTCTTCCTTTCCTCTGGCTCATTCCTAAATCAAATTCAAAAGAGGTTCCTATCACTTTTTCCTCCAACTGTTTTCCATTTCATCTCCCTATATTTGTCTCTTGTCACTTACTATCAAGGTCTATGTTCTTTTCCTCCCTACCTTTTAAAATCTCTTTCAAGCTGTTTCCAATACCCTCACGGAATGACTATTTTTAACTAATCTTACTAATCTCACTTAATCTATTCAATAAAACCTCTCCTCCAAAGACAAAAGGAATGTGCAGAGGAAATGAGACAAACTAGAGGAAGCATATTCCCTAAATGGATTAAGTTCATAAGCAAAGTAATACTCCTTAAATACTCTTCCCATGTACAATCCATAATCTCTTCCCCATAGGTCTATCAAGCCCAAGATAATCACACTCCTGCCTCAAAACAAAATAAAATCCTTTGCACATCTTGTACTCTAATAACCTTAGCTGTATCTAAGTTGGATCAGTATTTCATGCCCTTTCTCTTTGATATAATTACTTAAATCACTTTATATGTACTTGGTCATTTCACAGTAATCCAAGTTGAAAAAGTCACTTTGGTTTCTCATAAATGGATATGCAAGGGCTGAGCTTGTCAAGAACTACATCCTATCATTACCATGTTACCTCAGGTTCTGTAGATATGTTTTGTAGAGAAGCTAACAGGTAGAAGAACAAAACAGCCCTAAAGGGAAAATTCTTTAACTTCACATTTTTGACAGATTTGGGCTTTAGCTGTGGCTTTGCTGAGAGTGGAGACAGGTGCCTTCACACCACCAAAGCTGGCATACCCTTAGTTCCTACCCTGTGCCTCCCTGCCTCCCTGAATTTTTAGATTTCTGACCTTACCTACTACCAACAATATTTTTACTTATACTGCACCTTTGATAGTACACAGCTCTATTCCTCAGATAGCAAGTAGATTTTCCAAGTTTAGAGATACAACTGAGGAATTAGCATGAAAACCACCTTTCCTCAATAAATCAGAAGCTGCTAGTTGCCTTGAGAGCCTATGAAGAAAATGCCAGTGGTATTCTCAGTCACCAATCTAAAGAGAGAACTTTGACTCAAGGTATAAATGAAATTGTAATTATATAAATATATTTATAAATATTTATACAATTATATACTTATACATAAGCACTTACACAGACTTAGAAAAAAATGTAAGAACATTAATTCAAAGCGACTCACTGAAGAATAAACAGTTTCCATGATGTCCTTGAGGAGATACATAACTCATTCCATAGGGAGGGCACCTCAAAATCCAACCATCAGAAACCATATTCTCTCACTGTGTACAAGCAACACATGACCACGTTTTTAAAAGTCCCCCAGTTGCCAAGAGAGGGATCTTAAAGTAGATGGGAATCTAAAGGTCTGTGAGCAATAGCAGTTCCTCAGGTAGAAGAATCATCTAAATCTCAAATTCTATGGTACAGCTTTATAACAAGTTAAAGTTCTGATTTTGCCACCAGAATCACTACTAAACCCTTGTAGAGATCTCTACTTAAAGCTCAAAATAAGAACTGAGTATATAGTGAAACTGGTAAGTCAAACAGTATTATACAGATTCAAGGTGGCCTTTTCTAAATAATACTGAAACCAACTACAATTTGAATGTTGCTTTTGTTGGCAGAAAAAACCCACATCACTTGAAGATTACTGTTAATCTTCCCCACCTGCCTTATTAAATGTTGTCTTATGAATTGAATTTAAAGGTCTTCCCTTGGAGAGAGAGGCTTTCAGTTTTGATGCCTTTTGCAAGAAAACAGCATGAGGAATTAAGCTCATTCAGTCACCAGAGCCTTTTAGAGACTGTTCCAACAAGGGGTAAAAAATGAATCAGTATTTCTCACCAAAGGAATATGGTTAGCAATTCTCAGCTGCACCTTCTTCTTTCTCCTCTGGGACATATGTAAGTATGCCTTAAAGCACATAGGACAATCAATAACCATAGTGGTTACAACTACAAGCTATTGTACTGCATTATTATTGAACAGCTGCCTTCCTATAGATCATTTGTGGACCCAACAATGGAAGGGCCAAAGGAACTAATATGCTGTACTGGCCGGAACAGCAAGCACCTTTCTATCCCGATCACCACAATATGCTGACTAACTGTCTGTTTCAGGACTAGCAGGATCACTACAGGTTACAGAGGACAAATGGACTAATGAAGAAAGCTGCCTCAGGCTAGGATACTGAAAGCCACCCCATGTTACTCGCCCTACATTTGACACTCATTCTACCAATAATGCATTTCATGGAAATAATTCTAGCTGAGAAGATGGGAATCCTTTGGAAAAAAATTTAAATATGATGAGTAATAATTTTAAAGTATGCTTTTTCCATGTAAACAAAAGCTTGGATATTTTTGTACATGATCTTTCTTACATGAATGATAAAACAAAACGTTTTAGAGAACTTCTCCCTACTAAAAATGGGACCTACAAAAGAGGGAGGCTGTTCCTATTCTGACTCTAGCCATTCCTTTACCAAAGGAGTCTGAGGAGTTAACAGCATTTGATCCTGAAAAAATGCCATGCAAGAGACCACTTATTGGAACGTACATTTCTTGCTGCCAGTACTAGGAGGTCTTGTCCTTACACTTCCATTTGGTCACCAGATTAGGCAAGAAAGAAAGAATAGTAGAAAAAAGAAGGAAACAGGAGAGGAGAGAAAAATAGGGGAAGGATGGTACGGGGGGCGGGGGCAGAATAAGACTGATTATAGGACAGAGCAAGAAATAAAAGAGAAGGCAGGTGACTTGCTTGCCCAACTTTGGCTCTATGATCCTATGAGCCAAAATGCATACTCAGTGACATGGTATCTCACAGGAAAAGGGAAAAAAGGGGTAAGCTGAGAGAGGTCAGACCATGATGTTAATTTCTTTCCTGTACGAAGACAGTCTCTTGAGGACAAAGGCCTGCCTCTTGTAATGTAATGTCATAGTCCAGATGAGAGAGTTTCCTTCGAGGGAAGTTGGTGAGAAGTTCAAAACGTTCATTTGGATATCCTTTGGACTGAACATGCTTCACCAAAGCCTATGAAAAATAAGTGAAAGACAAAGCTGTTAGATGGAAATAAAAAGAAAGTGCATATTGAAGAATTAAGCATCTAACAATCATTTTTATCACTATGAGATGAGATATAAAGTTATTTTTTCACATAACTGAAGCCTACCCTTAGGGAAAGGCCAATATAACTAACTCTTTAGATAATAAACCTGTATCCAATAATTTAGGGCCATTAAATGATCCTGAAATATACAGGGTTATTGTTATTTCCCCAGGAAACAAATCCAATTTCTATTTATAAAATAATTATCCTTGTTTTAAAACATTTTATCAGTTTGACTTCCTTCTATCAGGGAAGATAGGTCCTTCATTCTACTTACAGTGAATCCTGACACCTGTGCATTCTGAATCCCTTCTTGCCTCCTAGGAAACAATGCCACTACACAATGTCCCCTCTTTTCTAGGTATCTTCAACAACTCCCTCTCTACAGATGCTTCCTTCCCATCAGACTTAAGACACTCCATCTCTCCTTCAATGATTCTAACTTCACCGATTCCTGTCCACTTCCCTCTCTAGCTTCACAATCAAGTTTCTCAAAAAAGTGATCTATACTTGTTCTAGCCATTGTCTCATTTCCCATTCCCTTCTAAATTCTAGACCCAGAAACAGTCTGGGTAGCAGTATCAGCAGCCAGACTCTACTTGCATTACTGTCAGTCTTCAATAATCAGATTAACAATCTCCAGCTCCTGCAAATGGCCTGGTATGGACACCCGACCCAGAGGGAATTCATTCATAGGCTCAGCTAAGCTAATAAGACATATCCTCTCTTCCAGGAGCTGAAAAACACAAAAGAAAAGGCCCTCAGCTTCACTATGATGTACCATGCCATGTATAAACTGAGAGGTAAATAAAAGCCACCAGTATAAAGACAAAAGAATGGTATAAGGCAGAGAATCACAAGAAGAGATCAAGCAGTCCCCATGAGAGAAACATGCAGAAAAAATACCCTTGGTTTTTAACAACTTTGTAGCTTTAGCTACTAGGAACCCCAGAAGCCACACTATAATCTTCAAATAACCTTATTCCCCTTTTCCAGATAATTTCATTGGGTTTCTATTCCATACAGTCATGGACTAGAAGAGCCTTGACTAGGTATGTGACTTTTCTAAGATAACTTAGGAAGGAAGTAAATTAATTAAATTAAGATTCACCGCAGCTAAATTTCCAGTTAGAGGTCAGACTAAATACCTAACACCTACTTCAAACAATCATCAAGCCAATTCCATCTATTATTTAGTTTTTCTGCTTCAAGCAAATTCTTCCAATTAGATATACTTACCAGCAGCTTAGCTTGCTCTGGAAGAGTGATCTGTTCCCTTTTCCCATCTGGATACCGCAACATCAGCTGTGCTTTTGGTCCTAAAGGAAAAGTTAAAAAAAAAAAAAAAAATATTTAAGAGCTTAAAACAGAAATTTAAACAAATAAATCCCTTCAGTAATACACAAAAGTTTTAAATAAAGTCTAGAATATAACTCACCATTTACATCTATGCCCTCCACTATTCCATCTGATTTTTCAGGTGACATCTCCAATATTTCTGAATCCATGGCTGGCAATCCTTGGTGATTTGTGGCTGTTCCAGGCTCAGTTCTGGCTGGAGGCTCACTCAGTGGCCTTCTATTCTCCTCTTTCCTATGCCCCAAATCTTTGTGGGGAGACTTTCTGGACTTGGCAAGATTCTCTATCTCCTCTTCTTCATCAGAGCCACACACAGATATGAACTCCTCACTGCCAGAAAAAAGTTCAGATTCAGATTCTTCATCTGAGCGACTATCCTGTTTTGTCTGTGTTGAATCAAAATGTGTCTCTTGCAAGGAGGCTCTGATGGCAGCTTCTAGCTGGCTGTCTTCACTTGCATCTATAAGGCTCTCCTGCGAGATGCAGTCATAAAACATGGGTGGAAAGAAAAAGAAAACAGTTAAACCAAAAAATATAGTCAAGTCAAACAGGACATAAGAAATTAAACAGCTTGCCATTATTATTTTCTGCTGAAAATATCTCTTCTACTAAATTTTACATTATTTGAGAAGAACAACTTTGTCTTACACAGCCAAGTTGGGATGGATATTTTGAAAACAAAAATAAAAACTGTCCTTCACCTGGCATAATGATGTTGCAAGCACAGGGGTTTTTTTGCATCAAAATGAATAAAATCAAGAAAACAGCTTATTCCCTGCCCAGAAAAAGAGAAGAATTAAGGTTTTAAATATAAAGCCAAAACATTAGTCTTTAAAATGACTAAACACAGAGAAGGATATCTACCTTGCTCACCACTGTATTTTTCAACTAGCACTGGTTTGGCACATAAAGATAGCACTAAATAACCGAGTAATTATTATTTTGAAAAACAAAACAAAAAAACAGTACTATATGTCCCAATTTAATAGATCACTTACATTCAAAACAAAACAGAATACGACAAATAGGGAAAAACAACGACTACACTTCCCCAAGTGAAATTACAATGAAGATTTTCATTGTGATCATAAGAAATGCAAATTTAAATAGCTTTTCCTTTGGTTAAGTTCTAATGTCAAATTTCACTATACTGAGTCACAAAATATGGGTTATGTGAGTGGAACTTACTTAGATCCTGACTCAAACAAATTATATTTAAAAAATTTATAAGGTAACCAAAAATTAAACAGTGGGTATCTAATGATATTGAAGAATTATTATTAAATTTTTAAAGATGTATTATGTTTGTGTTTTAAAAAAGCAAAAACTCTTCACCTTTTAAAGATGCATGCCAAAGTATTAGCAAATGAAATAATGAATTCTGAGATTTCCTTCAATATAATGCAAACAGGATTAGGGTACAAAGAAAACAAGACTGGTTGCATGTTGATAATCACTGAAATTAGTTAATGAGTACATAGAAGCTCAATAAATTCCTTCAATATTTGAATACGCTTAAAATTTTCCACAATAAGGAGGTAAAAAAATGCATGCTAACGAAAAACTAAAGGAACCCCATTTTGGTTTCACAATCTGCCAATCATATAGCAGAAAGTAAGTATCAACTTAAGGCTCATTTACCACCAAAACCCACCAAGTATATGTGCCTATGTGACCAGCAACAGCTTTAGGTGGATTGTTGGTTCACACCAATGGCACTGTATAGCATGTAGCTTGGTTTTAAAGATGCGCCATAGCAGACACTGCTCGCTTCCTACCTAATATCCATTCTCCTCTAATTCCTTAATTATAGAATTATAATCATGTCTACAAAAGAAAACAGATTCTGCTAAAAAATTCCATTTACCACTTTCCCTTGCAATTAGAAAAAATTTGAGATATGGAGCTAAAGCAGCACTTAGACATTACAGAACTAAATGCATATCTTACAAAAGAAAGGTCTCAAATTAATGCCTGTTTCCATCTTAAACACCCACAATAAAAGTAAAATAAAATTAAACCCAAAGTAGTAAGATTCCTCAAGGGAGGAACAACCTAAGACAGGCATAGTTGCAGGGGGGCCATCAGGTGAGAAATTGGGGATCAACAGAGGAGAGGCTCAGAACCTCACCCCCCATTTTGAGAGAAATCTTCTGCATCTGTGGATGTTTTGCTGCCCTTGTCTAGCTTGGATTAATACTTAGTCCATAGGCACACACCTGATCATCTACACTTGCCCTCTTACAGCACTAAACTATGTTTTCTACCTTTATTTTGCATCTACCTACCACTTCAGCATTTTATTAAAAATAAAAATAATAATAATAATAAAGGGAGAAATGTGGGATCCACATATAAATCAAGTATAAAAATCAAAC